TATACAGATGCGCGGGAAGAAGTTTCTAATTTCGGGAAAACGTACTTTTACTCCAATTAGTTACGTTTTATACATAGAATCTTTATAATGCAGAAGAATTATTATTAGTACACGTAGGATTATGGGATTAGAGTACGCATAGAGGTTCTTTACAATACAGAAGGATTATTATTCGCAACGGAATCAAAGTGACATAGTACCTTAGCGGTAAATGAAAAAAAAACGAAAGAAGAAGAAAAAGGTCGAGCTCGTACAAAGTGAAGGGCGGGTGAATTTCCGCGTTTGCGTACACGTGAACGAACTTCCGACTGCGCGCGCGTTGTCGGGTATTATTTTTAATCACTCAATAGTTCGCCCGAATGCCCGAGTACGAATCTCGAGGCAATGCGATTATCCCGTAATTGGATTACGTTTGACTTCCACCTGTTTTCATGCAGATACGCTGCGCTCGCTTCTTTTCACATCGCCGGTAGCGCCGAGGTGCCAATATCGTTTTTTCCCTCTGCTTTTTTAATGCAGCAATTCACGCGTGTTAACTTTCAGCAACTCGACGCAACTTATAACAGTACGATCTAACGGTATACTTTCCGATCAAAAATATATAGTAACTTACAATTTTGCTTTTAAATGACAACACATACCTTCAGTATTTGTAAATCATTTCTACATTCTTGTTAAGAAAGAAAGAGAAAGAGAGGGGGAGGGAGAGAGAAAAGAAGGGAGCGAAAAAGAAACTTGAAATCTGTGGCAAACGTGCGAACTAGTCCTTGACTGTGAATTTATATATTAGCATCCTCTTATCCTTTTAAATTGACCATGAATCATGAATTCCCTGTCGCGTGAGGGAGCATCTGGTCTCCGCGTTATATTGTGTCAAAGGGGCGAGAGATCTCATGAGGGTAGTAAACCATCAGCCGATAATCGATCATGCGACTCGGTAGCTCCATTCATGGGGTGTATAAAAGAGATAAGCATCATGAGCTTTCGTCATCAAAGCGCGTGACATGTAGCCTTTTATGCCAAAATATCGCTTGCCTTTTTACGGTGCGAATTAAGTTAGTCCATTACCGTCCTCCTCTCGCTTTATCAATCGTTGTATCGTTAATCGGATATCGCTTCAAGTTTGCGCTGAATGACCGTTTCCTCCTCCATGCCTTTTTTTCCCCCCCGCCACGGCGGGACTTAATGATGTCCTCGAGTTCTTACGCTCTACGTTACCGTCGCGAGATATCTGGAAAAGGAGAAATTTCCTGTAGCTCCTGCAATTCTCTGCGCGGGATTCGAAGAAACTGTAATAAAGATATTGGGGATGCGGCAGTTTTCAACGCGTACGAGCTTTTCCAACTTGCGGGCGACATTAATGAAAAAGTGATTAATTTCAACCGTAGGGTGGCAAGCTCGCTCGACCGTCGGACTCGGACCGCGTTGCCGGGTGAACTGAACCGAGAGGGCGAGAGGAGTCGCGGCGGGCGGCAAGTAACTGACCGCAAAAGCGACGACGAGCTCTTTTATTTATTCCTGTTTTCTTTTACACGGAGACCCCATTCGTTCATTAGACCCGACCATCCATGCAACACGCTCGCGCAGGCTGAAGTTGGTGCCGAGTTTTCTCTCGGACCGCATGGTACATCTCTCATCCTATCTTCTCCGCCAACTCGAAATTCCCTGCCTCGGTCGTTCCTCTAAACTGTCTGTTGGTGGTTCGTAGTAATTTGAAAATGTGATCACA